AAATTCAAATTTCAAATTTCAAATTTCAAATTTCAAATTCAAAATTCGAATTTCAAGATTCAAATTCAAAATTCAAATTTCAAATTCAAAATTCAAAATTTAAATATTTGATAATTAATTTAACTAATTAAATTAATTAGTAATGTCTTGGACCATCCAAGCCCATTAACAATACCATGCGCCCTCTCCCTCTTAGGTGGGCTTCCAAACTTCATCTTGGGCTAACAACCATTATTAGGCCCAATACCTTTAATGCTATATCATCATGACATTAAGGTGTTAGTGTGTGACCCATTAGGTCCAACATTGCCACTGACATAAATGGGCTCGGGCCCAACAAGCCCACAACCCATTTAATGACAACACAGAGCACTACCAATGCTTTGTTGCCCCAGAGCTAGTTAGATTAATGACTTGATCATCCTATTACACAAATTTGGTTGCCGTATGTATTTCTTTTCGTCTCGGTTACCTTCCCATAAAACCTAGGGTAAGGAAGCGTATCAACCCTTGCGGTTTAGGGTAAGCTTTATTCGAAAATAGGGAATCTTCAATTTACTGACTCTAAAGGCAAATCATCTCATGATCTCTTTTACTATGCATAGATTCTCGAGTCCCTGTAAATGTCATCCTGATTTCTCCAGTTTAGAGATAACCTAATCTCTCACAGAGATTTGACGAATTCCTTCAGCTTATCACCCTAGCCCTGTGCTCTTTCAGGACAAGCCCAACAGTATACCTATGAGTCTCCATGTTTCAGGCAGACGAGGTATACAGTCAAAGCATGTCTTCTAGAACACAGTCTAGGTAATAACTTCTGGTCTAAGGAAAGACATACCTAAATATAAAGAGACTACTCTAATGATACTCTCTATGAGATTTCCTCATAGAGTTTCTTTTGTGGATCTGTTCAGTGCGAGCTATACCCTTATAGATCCACCCACGACTTTAGCTAAGACATCTCCATATCTGTAGCTCATGAGGTCTTTACCTTGCATCCGAACACAAGTAGATAAGTCGTGCTAGTCTTACTCGAGATCACTGATCCCCATTCTCAGTGTCTCTAGACTAGGAACATAAAATTAGGAATAAATATTCAGTATCCTTGAATCCTCATGATCGTGATCTTATCATAGATACTCAAGAGATACCTATTTTATTCCAAGGGATTTATCCAGTTACTCATATAAAATATTAACAGTAATATTGAGACAAAATATGAAACAGGATAAATAGTGTTTTTATTTATTTGCGACAATACAAAGGTCCACATATGTCCTAATTTAATTAAAAGATTGTCTCTAGGACATCCATATACTAACAATTACTTGTTCTAAATTTTAATTATCTCAAATCCAATTCTTGATTGTCCAACTAAATCGCAATTAGTGAACTGGTGCTTGAAGATCCGATCCTCGTGGGAACAATCTCGTACTTTGGTACACTTTATTACTTTTCGACCGGTGCACTTGCCGAGTCGCAACAAGTACCAAGCTCGGTGACGTATTAAATTGGAGCTGTCAAGTGAAGGAGATTAATCAGGTAATCCCTTGGTACTTGGGTTTGATCCCCGTGTGTGCTTCGTCATGCCCCTTGAGGGTAATGGTTGGAGATGTATGTTGGTAATGTAGTATAACATGTTCATGCATTATTGTATGTTTAGTGGTACATAGGATGTACCGTGTCTCTGGCCAGTAGACTGTTGCCTTCAGGCGTTACGGACTTCCACTGGATAGGTCTCCATGAGGGAGTTCCAATTGACCTGGGGTCATGGTGTTTCATCCGTTGAGGAGCACACTAGGAAATTCTGGGGTGTATATGGATGGAGGGTGCCTTGGTTGATGTTCTGGGAACACTTCCTTGGATGAGAACCCGTAGGCTATATGTCGAGGCCAATAAACCGGATGTTGCATGGCTTTGGCATTGACCATTCCAGTTTCATCGTATTTTATTCCCTATGCTTCCCTACTTCGCTAAATCTCTTGCTTTATCTCGTTTTGAATGTTGTAGTATATTATTGATAAGCATCTTAGTGAGCCATTGGGCGGAGTAATCTCCAGAACTTCTGGGTTACTGAGATATATCCGTATATCTCATCCTATTTTGGGGACTTTATTTCAGGTAGTGGCAGTGGTACGGGAGCGGCGGGCAAGAGGCCCGTAGGATGAGCATGGTAGCTTGGGCCTATTTTGCATTTTGTGGCCATTGGGCCTAGGCTAGACTTAGGAGATGAACATTGTATGTGATCTAGGATTCATATTGCCATCTTTGTTCATGTCGCATTTAGTCTAAGTTTAGTTGATGATTTACCATATTTATTTTGGAGGTTACTATGTGGTATATTGGTTATGCTTTATTTGAGGTTATTGTAATATTTGAAATGAAGCATTGTAATTTGTGAGATTGAGACCTTGTGTAATATTGAAGCATGCTATATGGTGAAAGGGCAATAGGCCTATTCTAGGATATGATTTATGTTTTATGTCAAAAGAATGCATGCAAAGGAATTAATGTGATTGAAATGGTTTAAGATTTGATAATGTAATTGATGAGTTGTAAAGTAAGCTATTTGATATAAATTGTGAAGGGTTGTAAGAGCACCAAGGCATTGCTACTCCTTGAGTGCCACCCATGTTTATTAGGTATCATTTGAGGCTAGTTAATACACTTTTAAAAGTGGGATATGTTGGAAAAATAAAGGAGACTCTGGCGAAATTTCTATAAAATGGCAGATTTTGAGTGAACTTTGGGAGAGCATATCTCCATCCATGAAAGTCCAATAGGAACGTTCCATACACCCTTGTAAATATTGAGATGTCGACTACCTTGTGTCAAAATTTGAGAACCATAGGATTATCACACTGCCCTGTAGAAGTCGTGGAACACAGACTGCCCAAAATCCCATGCACTTGGGGGCTGTCACTGTCTGTTTTTGGGAAAATTATTCCCGCCTCAATTATTGGTCAAATTAAATGCATGATATGTCAAATTGAATTTTGAGGTGTCTAGTTTGCTGTATAAAAATTTGAGAGAAATAGGTGGAGTGGTTTGTCCGGAATCTTGCAAAGAGTGAGGGTTGTTTGGAGCCCAGTATGAGGATGACTGGCAGATTTGGTTGTCCAACTTCAAACGGTGATATCCGAAGCAAACGAGAACTTTTTGGAGCTTGTGACAGATTTTTGGAAAGATAATTAAGTCTAGAATAACATACTAAAAGATGAGAGGTTCGCGACATGTAAATTTTCTGCCGTAATTAAAATACGGAACCATCTTCAGATAGGTAAAAATCGTAAAAATGAGAATTATGCTAAGTGAATTTATGGGAACCCCTTAGTTACTTAAGAGAAGTGTTATAAGATATTTAGGCACTTGTTTTAATTATTCCGCAATTAGTTTTCAGTTATGGTCACAGCTTTTATTTATTACGCTTTATTATTGTTTTAAATGCTCGCGTAATAAAAAGGAAAAAGTTTACTCGCATTTTTATAAATGAATTGTTGTGATTGTAACTGTGCTTAATATCATAATCAATGTTAACAATACCGGTGTACAACGAGCTGTTACAGTCTTCTCACTTTCTTAATTGTAACTGGGGTTAATTTTCTCATATTATAATAAGTAAATTTTATCTCCTATAGACATATAAAAGTGTGTCAAGATTATACGAGCTCGTGTTAGGAGAAAAGAAAGAGAAAAAAATCATTGATCACATACACTTTTATGTATGTGTTATCTCCTATGCCATGAGAAACAGTAAACTTATTGTAATTATTATTTTCTTTCTTAAATATTAAAGAGATATAATATAAAATCATTAATAAACCTTCACTCACTTAACAACTTAAGTTGTTGGGTTGAGATGTTTGTTTTATATGGTATCAGAGCCTTCGTGAGCATAGGGTCACGAATTTGATCACTTAACAGCTTTAACTTTTCAAACACCCGTCACTTTCTAATGAAATTAAGTTAGTATAAGATAAAACCAAAACAAAAGAATCTGTGCAATATCAACACTTCATATCCAGAGAACTCTTGCTTGAAATGATGTGTTAGAAAAATATAATATAAAATTATTGATAAGCCTTCACTTAACATCTTAAGCTTAGAACAAGGAAAAGTGAAGCTCGACCTCCCTTTCTTCACGTGATTAACAACTTCAATATCTCTGATATCTTTTTCAATGTTTGTTAATGTACTGCAGTGAAATTATAATTATAATTTTATTTTGTCAAAATTAATTATCCAAATAAAAAGTTTCGCAAGTGATGAGAATTGAATTGAACCAGCTCACATTATATCTGAATTCCTTAAATTTTTTGAAATATACTATTCAAACACAACATTATGCAAATATTTGGATTCAAGATTTATATTATAATAAGGAATGAATTATGAACTGGTATAATAAGATCGTGTAAGTCTAATCCATTTCTATAATATTAAATGAATTTCAATTTCTATCTTCCCATGACCATGTTTTGTGGTAGGATCATAATTATATAAGGGTAAATTAATTGTGATAAAAAAGAAAAAAAAAATTTAAAATAAGAAATTACAAAATCATCACCTTTAATTTACTCTTATATGATTAGATCCTCCCAACCCTTGTATGAATAGAATCCTCCCACCATCTCACATAATATGAACATGTTAAATAAGACATGAGAAGATCCATTTTTGTTTTTATGTTCAACTAAGAACCCAACCTCACGTACACGTCTTGGTTGGTTGAATTGAATTCAGAAAAATAAAACGAAATACGTTACTTTCCTGAAGTGGATCTTATCCAAAGTCTGAAGATGCCTCATCCCAACGACCCACGAATATATGCATTTTTTGTTTTTGCTATTCTCCTCCTTGTTGGTTCTTAATGAGAGATTGAATTTTTCGCTTCTACTTAACACAACGGCCATTTCAGCCATTCACCCAAGGGGAAAAGAAAAATCCAATTTATGTTTATCAATGCTTATTCAAATGAATGCTGGTAATATGAACTTGCCGATCATGTCCAAATTAAAAAGAATTTCTATTTACAACAAAATTATAAGGCATACCGACATCACAACAGGGCATGGGGTTTTGCAATCACCATACAAGGTTACACCTATGCTAACACATGATTCATTTGATACAAGAGAGTTTCACACAAATCCATGATCAGAAATATAGCTGTCTGCACAGTGCTGCATCAATATCAAAGGGACAATATGGACACTTAAACAGTTTTGTGCTATTCTTGGACATCTTCAAGATAGACTGCTTACAGAGGACATGGCCACAGGACATCAACATCGGAGGGTTATCCTCAGTTGCTTGTTCCTTTGAGACAGGACAAACAAAAATAGAATGGTACTGGAATTCGTGGTCCAACTCAACTGGCACTGGCAACTGGTTCATAGACTGCCATTCCTGCTTTTTCCCTGTCATGACATTCATAAATTTAAGGAGAGGTGGCAAAACCTGGACCCCTGCTGCTACAGTCACACTCAATGGACTGTTATATGACTGTCCCAAAAGATTGCAAAACTGCCTTTTAAGTTCCTCAGACAACCTATCCCAGTTAGATGGAGACAATAATGCATGGTATGGAGACTGATCAAGCTTTCCAATCCACAGAAGACAGGCCATAAGCTTCTGGATATCAGCCAAGTGAGTGGAAGCAAAAGGAGAAAGGTAAGTTCGCACATAATGAAGAGCTTCATCTTTACTTCCCTTTTGAAGTATTTTCACAAATTGCATGGAGTGAAGTTTCAACACAATGTCAGATCCACTTTGGGCAAGTTTGTCAGAATTAGTGGCAGCCCAGTTGAGGGCTGGCTCCAGGTTCTGATTCTGCATGGCTTGGAGTATTTGATACATTTCCAGGAATGGAGATTTCATAATGACAGCAGATTCAGGTTCTCCAACCACACTTAGAAAATGGTCCCCTATATCAAAAAGGCCCTGGCGATAAAAATGGTTGGCGATTATTTGGTTTAAAGTGTGTATATCAGTGTCAATATTTCTGTAAGCCTTGGATATATCGGGGTTGAAATATTTCTCAAGAAGCTTCCCATACTTGCTGAGTGCTAGATTTAGCTCCTTCTGTGAGCTTTCCATTTGGCTAAGTGGCGCAATTTTAAGTAAACTGGCCTTAAGCTCATTCAAGACAGTTTTATAACCAAGTTCATGGTCAGTGTTATTGACTGACTGCATCTTGCCCAAAGCACTCTCAATTTCCTGTCTGATCTGATCAATCACTTCTTGAGACTTGGAACTAGATAACTTCTGCTTCTTAGTAACACGGTCAAAAGCATCTTTAATAGTACTCAGCTCCATATTGAGTCTTAACTTTATCTACAGTTTGCGATGCCTTTAAGCTAAGATGTGATGCACCTGCAAAGGTTCATAGTGTTAATACAATGAACTTTTAAGACAAACCATGAAATTACTTGTACCAAAGTATATGTTTTCAATCTTAGAAAATTTATAACAGACTTCAATGAGAGAGAAGGAATACAATGCAAGAGATATAGGAATCCCACAAAACAGATAGTATACATACAACAAAGGAAAAGTAACAAAAAAAAAGAGCATGCATGTCCGCTAAAGACAACAGGGAGTTGAACTCAAATCCTTGATAACTTGTTATGAAATTCTAATGAAAAAACTAGTCAAGATTCTAACTATGGAAAAAAAATTTAAGATAATTGTATACGTGCAAATGTGTATATGTTGGTATTTTGACATTAAAAAATGAATACTTTTGTAAAGAATTTTATTATTTTATTAGAAAATGTAATTTAGTCCAATCCAAAATAATTGCCACAGTATCCATAATCAGAATACATAGTCCCCTTCCCCTCTCTCTTTCTCAAGGTATAGGTTGGAAAATATATCCATTAACCAATTGAGCAGTTTATAAATGGTATCTATAACTATTAGCATAGATACAAGGCATAAATCTCAAGAACAGTAACAAACTTTTAACTTGAACACTCTTGGCAACACATTTTCTGTTAAGATCCTACTCCAAGGTATGGGACTTGAAGTCCCCCATCGGAAACATAAGGTTCTGATGTGAAGTTTATATGGACTTTGAGTTCTCCCACCTCATGGGCTAGCTTTTGAGGTGAAGTTCTCCCAAGATTCATATCATTTTCCTCTCAAATTTTTTTTTTTTTTTTTGTGTGTGTGTGTGTGTACATGTCCACCCTCACATGGGCTTTGCAGAGCTCCAAAGTGAACAAGGACTTCGAGAAACAAACAAAAGCCCTTCATAGCTATTATCTGTACCCATTCTTACTAATCGAAATTGGGATTGATCTTTTCAACTAAATGAACAATAAAAACTACCAAAGTACAATGAAAGGGACTCCACTCACACAGGGGAACATTTAGTAAGTATAATAATTATAAGAATAATACTTCATCAGCAGAAATTCAGGTGTACACAAATAAACAATAATGTAAGAATAAAATAAAGCAATTTGCTTACATATTCTTTTGCTTTGTTCCCTTTCAACAAGGCATTAGAAAGAATAAACTCTTTAAAGATTTTATCTTTCTTAGCAATTTATGCAAGCATAAACCTGTGTATCTAGAAAGAGGGGGGGAAAACTAGAAAGCTGATAAAATCTATGGGCCATAAAATAAGTTCCAATCATATCGAACATATAAGAATGTGGATTCATCATATATTGAAGAGAAAAATATTTCACTTTCATATGAAGCTGAATCAAGAAACAACCATTACGTAGATCAAACCCATTGGATAATCTCCTATCACAGGAGAGGTAAATAAATACCAAGTTCTCTGCATTACATCAGAACTCTCTAATTTGAAAACTAAGTTTAATACACAACAACTTCCCATTATTTTCAATTTAAACTCCAATTCTCAGCTTAATTTCAAATACTACCACTACAACCTGATCAAAACACTAGTATAGTTGAAAAACGCAAAAGAAAGATAAAATCCAACAAACAAGTTATCCCATAACAATAACAATAATAAGAGATCATACTATAAGACATAATAGTTTGAAAAAAAGTTAGGGTTTCCAATAACAAGATTTCAAAAAGCTAATAAAACTAATTATCAAATTCGAATCGATCATAGTAACCCAACTTTGTTTAGCTATTACGCCAAGTATTTATGATGATGAAAAAAAAATTAAAAAGAAAAGAAAGAAAGAAAGAAAGAAAAAGAAAACTGAGAGAGCAGAAGGGTTTAAGATTTACACAATCTAAAGTAGATGGCATAAAGAAAAGGGGAGGGGGAGGGAGGGAGAGCGAGAGAGAGAGAGAGAGAGAGAGAGAGGCTTACAGAAAATGGAGGGAAGAGATCTGTGGTGGTTGATTAGGGCAAACTGCAAACAGGATCCGTGTGGAATGGGAAGAAGCGGTAAGAAGAAACGCGTACGTGTCATTCATCCAGTAACATACCTCTTTCACACTCAACCTAGCCCACTTTATCCCTGGTTATGACTCGCAACGCACGATATTGAAATTTTTTAAAACTATTGAACTAGTTTGTTTAATCGTTTATGGTTTCTCCATATGAATTACCCCTGTAAATCCGAAAATTATATATTTTATTATTTTTTTTGTTTTCACCCCGAGGCGCCGATAACATTGATTATGATATTAAGCGCAGTTACAATCACAACAGTTCATTAAAAAAATACGAGTAAATTTTTTTCCTTTTATTACGTGAATATTTAAAACAATAATAAAACGTAATGAGCAAAAGATGTTATCATAACTGAAATCTAAATGCGAAATAATTATAAATAATGTCTAACTATCGTATAATGCTTCTCTCAAGTCACTAAGGGAGTGTTTGGTAGAGGGTTTCTCAAAATTTTGATAGGCATCTAAAAGTGGGTAAGTTGGTTGTCTATGTTTGGTATAGATGATTCAAAAATTTGCCTACCTAACCAATTTGCCTAGCAATTGAGTTTTATACGCAAAATTGGACAAAAAAGCATGGCTCTGAAATCCTACTTAACTGATGGTATTCCACGGATAGCTGGGTAAGTGGAAATGGGTACAAAGGGAGCTGCCAAAACTACCCTTTGAGAAGAAGCCGCCGGTAGTTCTCTTAGATAGTTTCTGTTGTTATGGGTAGTTGTTGTTGTTAGCAATTAGTTACTGAGTTAGTTTTTGAGGCTAGCACTGCATCAGTTAGTTAGCTTCCGTATCAACAACCACTTTAAAACATGCAGTGCAAGTAAATAGGGGAATTATGCAATAAGGATATACTGTTTCTTCTTCCTTTCGATCCTTACGAGTTTTCTAAATATGTAACAAAGATCTTTCATTGTTTGATTATTATAATTCGTTTTGGGTAATTTTGTTTGATTCAGTAGAGATAAACTGATGACTCTGTTAGTTGCAAGTTCTATTATGTGAAATGACTACTAAGTGGTGTTTGAATCTGTCTGATGAAGTTAAAATTGCATGAAGGTAAAGGTAATGGGTTATTAAACTTGCTTTTGTTTTATTTCAGAAAAATCAAGTTTGGTGCCTATTTATGCAACAATATTTCAGCTTTGGCTTGGTAAGTTTGTAGGTGGAGTTATAGTAAACCAAACAAAACAGAATATGAACTACATTTGCAGATTGCACAAGTAAAGGAAGGAGAAAAACTGTTTAATTGGAACGAGAGACGGAGATGGAGACAAAGACAAAGACGGAGATATTTGGATATTGCTATTGGGACAATTGGTTGTAAAGGGTTATTTTTTAAAGGGTTATTTTGTAATTTCAACAAAGTTTCCCATCAATATTTTATTTTCAACCAAACATAGATTCAGGAATTTCCCTCAATTTCCCCAGTAAAATTTTGTCTAACCAAACAACTTTTTTTTAACTTTCCTACCTAACTCACTTTCTAACCATTTCCCTATCAATTACATTTCCCTAGTATTCAAAAAAATTCTCCTCAACCAAACTCCTCCTAAGGGATTCGCATAAACCCACTTTGCATAATTTTCTCTTTTACGATTTTTACATAACTGAACATGGTTTAGTAATCTGGACATTGCGAGAGATTAAGTGGTTATAAACCTCTCATATTTTAGTATGTTATTCTAGACTTAATTATCTTTCCAACAAGCTATCACACGCTCCATAAAGTTCTCGTTTACTCCGGTTATCACCGTTTGAAGTTGGACAAGCAAAGCTGTCAGCCAACCTCAAACAGGGCTCCAAACAGCCTTTACTCTTTCAGCGATTCTGGACAAACTACTCCACCAATTTCTCTCAAATTTTTATAAAATAAACTAGACACCTTAAGCTTCAATTTGACATATCATGGGCCTAATTTGACCAATAATTGAGGGAGAAATAAATTTCCCAAAATAGGTCACCGGACAGCCCCTGCAACAGGGCATTCTGAACAGTCCGGGCTCAAATGCCTCTACAAGTCTTCACACAACTCCAATTGCTACCAAATTTTGACACAATATATTTGATATCTCAATCTTCAAAATAGTGTATGGCAAGTCCCTAATGGACCTCTGTGGAAGGAGATATGTTCTCCTAAAGTTCACCCAAATTCTGCCATTTTATATAAGATTCGACATCATCTCCTTTGTTTATTCAACCTATCTCACTTTATCAAAAGTGTGTTATTATCCTCAAAAGGTACCTAATAGACAAGGGTGGCACTCAAGGACCAGAAATGCCTTGGTTCTCTTACAACCCATCACAATTTATAACAATTACCTCACTTTAAAATTCATTACTTACATTGTAAAACTTAAACCATTTCAATCACATTGTTCCATTTGCATGCATTCTTTAAACATACACATAATCATAACCTAAAATAGGCCTATTGTCCTTTCATCTTACATCATGCTTCAAGATTACACAAGGTCCAATAATTATAATTTACAATTCTTCAATGGAAAGCATAATACAAAAAGTCCTCCAAATACAATGAAATGTCCCTCAATTTACATCATTATAAATATACAACTAGACTTAGGCAAAATGTGGCATGAACAAATATAAAAATATGCATAATCCTAAATCCATATATGTAAAACCCCGTGTATACCCGGTTTGTTAACATGTCATCGTATTAAGCCACCTTAATTAAAAATGCGGAATATCTTTTTCTGTTCAATTATGACGTCATTAATCTTAGCCAAAGTTGATTACTTAATCAATTTCATAAAAAAATATCGCTTGTATGTAATTGCAAAGGATAACTAACTGAAATACCTCAAAAAAATAATAGTGAGTATCTAAAGTCACGGATCTACAACACATAGTCCGGACATAATCCTGATACATTATTACAACTCTAATCCAAACTAAAACATAGAGAAGTCAACGTGGCGTGGACAAACCCCATGTTCACCAAATAGACAACATAACAACAGAGTCTCAACAATGTAATCCATAACTGAAGCTAAAAGCACAAAGCAGTAAACAAGATCCAGCATCCAAGCATAACAGCAAATCAGCATAAGCAACATAAATAGGTATCAACTAAGCTCTGGCCTCCTGCCACTAGAGGTATCGACCCCCTGGTTACCTGAACCTGAAATAAACGCCCCCAAACGTGGGGTGAGATCTCTAAACCAGAAATCTCAGTAAGACAAGGGGTCCTCAAGGATCTTCCACCCCAAGCTCACTTACATGTGCAATATAAGTTCAAAAGCATTTAACAGTATAACTTCCAAAACCACGCAGTGCAACAGATATTCATGCCATGTGTGTCAAAACTATTCTACTGGCCAGAGAAATACAGGAATACGTCTATTATCTACAGTTAGTACAAGGAACATCGCTTGCACCTCACCCACAGCCTCACCCTATTGTATGTACCACATACTCAGGCTTACCGTATAAGTAGAACACCACATGCATATCATAAAGGCACTTGCATATAACAGCTTAACAGCATTTCACAAACCAATATATCATGAAAACAACATCATGCATATAACCATACCCCCAAGGGACATGGTGGAACCAACAATGGCTAAACCGAGGACACGAAAGCTTACCTTGCAAGCTAGCTATTCAAGCCAAGAGTCCACACAATCTCAAAGTCCACAAACAGCAAGATCACAATTTGTTTAGACCAATTATAACATCAATATTCATACTATATAGGCATACTCAAAAAGACAACGCCTTTCTCTTATGTTTTACGTCTTTAGGCTCCTCACAAAGCCACAAGCCCTTAATAAATTAGATTCTGACTTAGTTAATTATTACAGAGGTTCAACAACCCATCATGGGTCCACAAACCCATAAATATCATTCTGTATGAATAGTGCAGCCACTGTTCTTCGAAAACCCAGAATATCCAGATACTGTTAAAGAAATATCCGGATATCTCTCGGGGACATATCCGGATATCCATATCCGAATATCAATATCCGGATATCTCCCACCAAATATCCTGATATTTCGCGGCAGAAACTCAGAATCTGCATTTCGCGAAATACCACTTAAAAGGTTGGGTTTTTAACCCAATCCAACGTTAAAGCATGCAATTTTATCCTCTTTTAAGTTCATATACAGATTACATACTTGTTTAACTCATTAACATGCCAAGGATTCATCTTTTAAGCAAGGAAACTCAAGATCAAGGTTGGTGACACTCACCCAAGGCTTCAAACAGAAAAGTAAAGCTCTTGGAGCTCCCACAACAGCTCCTCTAGATTCTGGTTTCCAAGTGCACGAAAATGGCACCTCAAGGAGAGTCATTTCTCTTCAAAGGTCACAACTTGAGACAAGAAACACCAAGATAATGGCTTCCACCACCCACTCTATGAACTCAGCCCCCAAACTCCAACCCACAGTGGCTGGAAACTCACAAAAGGCTACCTCTCACCCTCACAATGAAGCCCACAAGTGTTTACAAGGAGAAGGAGAGAAGGATCAATGCAAAAGATGACCACTTGGCTCAAGAAATGGAGAAGGAGACCAATGGAATAGTGTTTCAGGTCAGCCACCCAAGGAGCCTCACGAAGGACAATAGGAATGTCTAGGGTTTTGTGCAAATAAGTGTATTTATAGTCACTTAGGAATTAAACACACAGTATTATCGCTAATTGCTACGCTTAGCATTTTAATCCCAAACTTTGGAATCTGAACCTACTCATTTTTCTAAGATTTATCATATTTTTATTTTATTTTTCGCAGCACCTTTCCGGTATGCGCTTTTCCATAGCCAGTATCAGTTATGGCACCAGTTCTCATTATTTTAACTTGAAACTTGTTTTACAAGTCCTATATAATATTCTA